ACGCTTATTTTTCATAATTTAAAATCCTGCATAACTCTGGGAGCATTAGAATTCCTAGACTATGACTGAGTATTAGTGTGCGTCTGCTTTAAATGTCAAGAGAGTCTTTAATGATAACTTTGAAGGAATGTTAAGATGGTGACAGAGGGAGAATAGGGAAAGACTTCAATTGGGGTGAAATGAGCCATATGTTGCCCACACCTGAGTGTTGTAGAAGGATTTAAAAAAACTTTAAAAGTTTTCACTGGTGCAGAATTTTGAAGTCGTATAAATAATCATAGTTTGACCAAGTGAGTCGCATAAAAAATTTGGGATAGAATCACCTTGACTGAAGAACTTAATTTCCTTTTCTCTTCCAAGTGTACTGCTTTTAATTTTCTCTTCATCTTTTTTCCTTAAAAAAAAAACAAACATACCTTCTTTAGAGAGCCGTGTAACTGGATTTATTCTACTGAAAGCAGTTGGCTGTTTGGGTCACCTTGTCTACACACTACTGGGAAAACTAGCCCAGTCTGTGCCTCGGACCTAGTAGCAATCCAGCTTACCTGAGTGAAATGCTCTCTTGAGTTTCCTAATAAAAATGCTTCTGTAAGTTTAGGTGTGACCTGTATATAAGTAGAGAGATTGATAAAAGTACAAATCTCCACCTGTCCTACAGAGGTTCTGAATCTTCTTGGGGTCTTCACAGGCCCGTGTCTTGCATTAGCACCCCACGTGGGTCTTCTGATTACATCAGTGTGGAAGAGTGAAGGCCAGCATCCTCTCTTGCTGGGAGACTGGTTCTGTTTCAGCCATCTCCTGAGATATTACCTCAGTGTTATTCTCCTCTGTGAGCCTGTTTCCCTAACCACAACTACAAGGACTACCGCCATGGCATAAGCTGCCATTGAATTGTAGCTCCACTTGCCGTGACCCTGTGTGTACGAGAATCAAACCGTGCTCCTCCAAGTTCTCAGTGCAGCTTTTTCCAGAAAGACATCACCAGCAGGCATTTCTGCCAGAGCGCTCTGAATAGACTTGGTCTTCCAACCTTTTGGTTAGCAGTTATTCTGCTAACCGTTTGCATCACTCAGGTTCTCCTGAGAACCGGAGTTACCAAACCAAACCCACTGCCTTCCGAATTCGACTCACAGTGAACCCTGTGTAGGGCTGCGGCCCCAGGACTGTCAATCTTTGTAGGAATACACGACTTCGCCTGCAAGACTTAAAATGGCCACAGCCACCTTTGCTTCTGTGAAATCAAGTGGGTGGCCTGGCCCATCTTCACGTCTGTCGCATTAATTCTAGCATTCTCACACACACAAAACCCTTCGTTCATTTCATTAGGATTTTGTTTCTCATGAGTGAGAACTGCCAAATTGGCCTTAAAATGATTAGTCTTCCTGACAACATACAAAATGAGTATGTTAAATGGACCCAACACCATGTTCCCTTTTCTCTGCTAAAAGAATGAGTTTAATCTCCCCAGTTTAGATGGCTGACGATGTTGAGGGACGCTCTTAGCCTTCGGCAGTTATCAGTAGGGTCCGATCAACGCACGCGTTCCAGCCCTCTGCAGACCAGAGTGTCTGAAACCTAATTTGAGGCCATGGCTAATAAGAGGGGGGATGACCTATATCAGCCACGGGGGGGAAAAGCACTTTCCCAAGATGAAGGGAAGATGTGATGAGAACTAGAGAGATAAATCCCTAAGAAATGGGCTTCATCTTTCCCAGCCTTTCTGTTCCATTCTTTAAACCATCAAAATGATTTTTCTGCCTAGTTAGCCAGGCTGCAAACTCCATTCAACTCCTGCTACGTTGATCTCGATGCCAAACAGATATTCTCAGCCAAAATTGTGTAGATAAAGTGGGCTGACTGAACTTTTCTTAAAAAACAACAATTTGTCGAACACTCACAAAACACTGGGTAAGCTAAGGCTGGACGCTCATCTGATTCTCCAAACAGCCCTCCAAAGCATTGTTGGTCCGTACTGGGGAGATCTGGAGAGCAACAAGCCCACCACTGACAGCAGCCAGACCCTGCCCAGCTGTCCACTCGCTTCCCTGACTGCCCCAGCCCTCTACCAACCTGGAAAGTGCTCAGAGGGCAACTTGATAATTCTGTCACGATGTCTTGTTTCTGCTTTTAAGTAAGAACTGGCGACCATGCTTCCAGAGACCTTTGTCGTGGTTTTGCTCGGCCTCCTCCTTGGGTTGGTGCTGCTGCTGCTTTTGCTTTTCATAGGATTCACAGTTTATGAGGAAATGCCGGAACACACTGGCTAATGTCTGGTTCTCACGTTCTAACAGTGAAAGGGCGCCATGAAAGTGGAAGGGGATGACGAGCTCATGGAATGATGGCATAAAAAGTAATAAAGAATTGGAAAGCTTTTTGAAAGGCCGCCGATTATGATAAATGCAAGGCAGTCAGTGAAGAGTGACTGTGATGGGTGTCGATGTGTGGCCTTTCCGTCTACAAAACTGCGTTTGAGTTTAGCTTGAAGTGCTTAGAATGGTGTATGTTCTAAGAGGTATCACATGAGCCCCAAACTCATCCAATATGATAGTACGAGTTAGTTCGGACTAATCAAACAAAAACGTGCAGTTTTGCTTTTTTTCTCATCACCATGGTCATCCTGAAGATGATGGCCAGATTGAATGTGAGGCAAAATACTGAAGCCGGGTACCTTTCCAGATGAGTGATGGATCTAAGTGAGAGTGCTCATGGAACAAAATACAGACACACCCAGATCCTTCCCTTCAGAGTTCCGGGTGTTTCTCTGCGAACAAGTTCTGAGTAGGTGTTTGCAACATAGTGTGATTGATTACCTTTGTTGTGTAAAAGGTCAGCCTTTGTGTGAAGTGCAGAGGAGATGGCTTCCTTCCTTGTGATACAATCTTTCTTCCAATGCGTTGTCTTTGTAATTGCTACATCCACAGTGCGCCCCCCCCCCCAAATTAAAACTACAATTAATATTCAGCAGACTCTTCAGTAAACACCACTTCTCATCCTTTTAATCTGCGATGTTCAGCATGGTAGAAATGTCTTGTTTTTAAAGAATGGTTTATATGCCTTAATTCTCTCTGCCCTTAGTAATTCGAAACAACACAACCACATGGTTTGTTTTTGCCTCCTAATCTTAAGTATGTTTTAGTTTTTAACACCTCAAAATCTAGAACACTTAGATGGAAAACAAACAACTGTAGAAGAATGCCATTTCCCACATTTTAATTTCTGTAACTGAGCCACTTGGAAAACTAAATTCCTTTAGCATTATGTGTGCAGAGCATCTTTGAGTTTGGCTGTTCAATAACTTACTAAGTAACATAAAGTAGCTCCTAATATGGTATCATTTTCATTTCCTGTTTGTGAAAAGATAAATGGTAAGGCCTTTTCTTTTCTTTTTAATATATTCTTCCCTGAACCAGAAGTGACTAAGAAGAAAAAAACAACTGTGATATGGCTCAAGACTGAGTCACGCCGTTAGAATACAAGAAAGGGTCTGCTACTGTGACCCATTTGGCTTTCCTTCCCCCCATCCTACCTCCATCCCTGATCGTCCTCCCCTAGAAAACAACTTTATTAAAAAATGATGTGAGTCTTAAGGTCTTTTTATTTCAGGATAATCTGCAATTACCATAGAATCCAATTTTTTTTAAGGATCTAGGTTATATGATAACAGAAGGATTGAACTCCTCCCCAAATTGAAGGCATTATATTTGACAAATGGTCTATATATAAATTATGGACATATGACAATTCTCTCCCCCACCCCACCTCCAGTTCATCCACCTTCGCTATCGCCTCGACATTTTCCCCTAGAGCCACACGGCTGTTCTTTTGAGTATAGCTTTATCTGTTGTCAATGTACCCCCCCTCCAATTTCTTTTATAGACCTAGCTCGTGTCCAGCTGTTTCAACCTATCAAAAATACTGTTAGATGAATCCAATCCTACATGAGCATTAAAAAAAAAACTTTAAAAAGTAATGTTTGACTTCCTACTGTGTACATGAAATTAGAAGCCCCAGTGGTTTTAGAAAACAATAATAGGTGCTCAAGTACTGAACAGAACATATTTGATGCTCGTTGAAAATGGCAACCCTTTTAGTATTGCTCCTGCCCTACTAATATCCTTTGATAGCATGATGTTAGTCTGTGTCTCCTCGTTAAGAAAGATGAAGTTAGTTTTGCAGAAACATCCCCCTCTCAGAGTTCCTCCATAACCACAGTAGAAGAGTTGATGAGTTTTAGCTCCTAGCTGATTTTCCTCGGGCTTCCTCGTGAATGCGTTTAGGTCATAGGCGTGATTCATGTGTGTTTGTGTTACATGGGACTCCTTGGTGCCAGCTGGTCTAGAACTGCCCAGTTAAAGACTAATGTATCTTCTCTTGAGAAATCTCCCGCCAACACTTTGGATGACTTCGTTTTCTAGTACTGTTACAACCGAAATGCCACAGGTAACCACCTGCATTTCTTGTTCTCTCTGTTGAGGAAGCTGGCCTTCCTTACTTGCAGCACCACCTCCAGACGAAGTCTTCCTTTCTGTGCCAACTCTGGAAGAAGGTCTTCATCTCCTAGACTTCTAGTTCCTGGCTCTAAAGAGATCTCCCTGTGTCTTAGCTTTACCTTACCCTATTTTTGCTTCTTGGTTTGCTTGTTTCACATTTTTGAGCTCTCAAAAGAGAGCCACTATAAAACGCACCCCACACCAGTCCTGCCTCACTACTATAACAGTTAAATCATTCCCAACTGAGATATAGCCACAGGCATGGAAGTTAAGATTTATAACATATATTGGCTGGGGTGGGGGTGCAGGTCAGTCCTCTGTAACACTTGGGGTTTGGCAATGGCCAAAGAGATTTCCAAACAATTGAGCAATGGAAATGATTTTGTCATGTGCAGTAGTGCCATAGTTTAACTTGGAATATGTATCCTTCAGGACGTTAAAATAGTAATAGTAATTAAAATGGTAATGCATTTGCATTCGGAGAAATAAGAGAGCATCTCTCCCTTCCAGCTTGCAAAAGACAAAGAGCGCCTGCAAGCGATGATGACCCACCTGCATGTGAAGTCTACGGAGCCCAAAGCCGCCCCTCAGCCTGTAAGTACTGATCCAGCCTCACTCTGTTTCCTTCTCCACGCCAGTCTACTTGGATCAGTGTGAGAGTTGACTAGTTTAGGGCCCAGCCATTGTTTCTGCTTCCTTTTATGATGAAGGCAGCACTATGTGAAGCTTTTGGACTGATAACAGGATGTTTCAGAGCTGGCACTTGTCTACAAGGCCCTACAAGTCTTTTTCTTTTCTTTTGATCTAGAATGGTGCTAAATTAAGGTAATAAAATGACATGCGAGTTGGGAAGAAGAAAATCTTAAGTAGTAAGAGCTCAGAAGGCAGCCAGATCCCAGAGGCAGAAGAAAGGGGCATGTCAGTCTGGCTAAGCTAAAAGGCAACAGTGCTTGTGAAAAGCACTTACTGGAGCAGAGGAAGGGAGTGGGAGACATGCTGACCAAATCCCAGTTGCCATTGGGTTGACTGCAACGCATAGTGACCCCCTTTGTGTCAGAAGAGGCTTGTGGGCCATAGGGTTTTCAATGGCTAGTTTTTCAGGAGTAGCTCACCAGGCCTTTCTTCTGAAGCACTTCTGTGTGGGCTTAAGCCTCTCAAGCCTTTCAGTTAGTAATCAAGTATGTTAACATTAGAGGCTCAATTATGGAGTGTCTCATAGTTCCTGAGGAATAAGAAGTGAAATCTAGCCTTTCACAGAAGACCAAACATGGTGGCACACTAGAATTAGGTGTTATTTTTGCAAATCTATTGTTTCTTGCCTTTTTCCCCTTTGACTTCACCTCGACCAAGTGGATGGGATGGTCTCTGAGCCCTAAGTCCCATTTTGGCCCCATTCCGATGTGATAAATCAATCTCTTTGAACAGTTGTGTTTGTCATATAGTTTAATTTCTATTTTAAAAATTAGCTGAGTAGCTTCAACAGATTATTCAAAATGGAGAGAGTGCCTTGCTTCTTGATTTTAAGATTTGTAAAATTTAAAGGTACACTGCCTTTATTTGATTTTGCTTGGAGTCACTGTGTGAAAATTAATTGAGCGTTGACAATCTATAGTTAGTACCAGCCATTTTAATCAATATGCAATGATGCAGCATAATGGCAAAGTATTGGTTTATCTGTTTTGACTGATTTTTTTCTATAAATAAAGCAAACATACACCCATACACGTATGATTTATGGTGATAGAAATAAAACGGAGTCAGACTATTAACCCAGCAAATATGGTAGCCTGCCAAGATGCAGTTGGCAGACAAAATTAATGTCTGAAACAGAACACATTACCGAGATATAGGACATAAAATCATTAAGCACTTCGCACATCCATTTTTACTAGGAAAGACTCCTTAGTTTCCACGTACTTTACGGCAAATGAGTGCAGGACTGAGTGTGTTGGCTACTTAAAAAGAAAGAATGAAAAACCAGACTATTCAAGGTAGTGCTGCTCATATCAACACTAGCCCTGCCCTCCACCTTCCTCTGAAGGAGGAGGCTGGGAATAACACAAATCCAGCTAACCATCTTGATGAGGCCCAAAAATGATTCGATTGACTTCTCCAATTGGGATGACCAACGGCAAAGGGCGCCAGTGTCCTTGAGAGTCATCAGCTGGCTTTCACGTGCAGGGAGTGTTTTCCCAGGATGCTGGCTCTGAGTCTTCAGACAGTGAAAGGGCGACAGTGAGTGACCTCAATGGGTTGGGAATGTCGCACTCGAGGAATGAACCTGGTTTTGAACATGGAGCTCCTTTAGAGGAGGAGGCATAAAACTAAAGGTGCGTCCTGTTGTTGCCGTGAGTGGTGGGGCTGGGTGTTTGTAGGCAGTGTACTGTGTGTAAGCCCACATAGTCCGCAAAGTGACCATTGGGAATCTCCATGAAGCCCAGTGTTAAGCAGCCAGTAAACGGACAAGCAGCCGTAAGGGAAATTGCACAAGGAAGGAAGGTTTGTCTTGATTCGGGTTTTTTTGGGGTTGTTGGGTTTTTTTAAGAAAGTGTTTTACATCTAGAAAATTATAACTTTGAAGGGGGACCTCCTACTAAATTTATTTTTAACTGCTCTATTGAAAATTCTCCACCACTAGTCAACATTATCTCTTAGTAGCTCAGCACAATATTTCTTTATTAAAAGAAATAGGCACGAATATTTTTGACTGAAAAATTAATAGCTTTTGAATTGATACACAGCAGGTTTTCTTTTGCAGAGAAGTCCAATATCGCTGCACAGCACTTCTGTAGCCGTTTATTTAGAGTCCAAGTCAGACCTTTGACAGCTAGAGCAGCACTACATGCCAATATAAAGAGCTCCGAGATGTAAGCCAACAATAGGCCGTCTGTGTGAGGTTTGCCATTGTCAAATACATAGATTGTTTGGATTAGTTTATGTAAATGTACTGTTGTATTACCCTTTGGGGGGAAGAAAAAAGATCACATTTGTGTATGAAAAGTGGTTTCCTTCACAGGCTGTATTATAAATTCCTTATCCTTTAACTTACGTGTAAGAAGTAAAAATTGGTGCCTGACAAGCAGGTATTGTGTGACACTCTGTTGTCGGAGTGAACCTGCCTTCTTTTCATTTACTTGGAAAATAGAAAATTTTATTATAGATACCATCTTATAAATCGGGAATTACTAAAATATGTCTAGGTGAGGCATTTTGGAAATTAATTATAAAAGGTAAATGTGTAGTGTTTTGCATACATTTTTACTTCTTTGTGCACCCACCCCCTTTATGAGGGGGTGGGGGGAGGTGCACATGTACAGCAAAAGCAAACCCCTTGATTCAGTTTAGGGCACAGAGATATTCTAGTGGCTGGTTTTAATGTGGAAAATCTTCCATGTAACCAGTAAATAATTATTTCACTTCCAGTAGTAGAAAGTATCTTGAGGGTTCGTTCAGGTATTCTTGAGAGAAGCAGTTACCGTCCATCCATATCTAACCAGATGGGGTGACAGACAGCCTTGCCAATAAATTTACAAAGTACCCCCCTGCCCATTTAAAAGGAACCGTGTGTTTGTTTTAAAATCTGTCGTCACTAAATGATGGGGTGCTTCGCTGTAAGCCACTTCTCCCTAACTGCCGTTTGGGGTAGGCACCATCTTCCAAGGAACCCTGGTGCGTAGTGGGTAACATGTTGGCTGTTAACCACAAGTTCAGCAGTTTGAAACCAGCAGCTGACTCTACAGGATAAAGTTGAGGTTTTTTACTCCGGTAAAGAGGTACCATCTCTGAACCCCACAGGAGCACGTCTTCCCTGTCATGTAGGGTCACTGAGTGTCAGCATCAGCGTGATGGCAGTGTGTTTGGTTTTTCTTTTTTGGTAAGTATCTGACCAGTCCCCGTTTCATCACATCGAAGGCATCATTGCTCTCCTAAGCTTCAGCACAGAAACATTGTCTGAGCCCATTAGGGAGCTCTCTCTGGATGGAGGTCTTTGGGGAATATGCTTGTCTAAGGACTGTCCCCAGGTTTTTAGATGTAAGCCCAACCTCACACCGTGCTTAGAAACTGGTAGTTGAATTGAACTATGAGTCTGCTATTTTCTTCTGCACTGAACTTTCTGTAGCATCTCCTCCTGCTTGCCATTAAATATTCTAAACTGAAAAATCATTCCCGAAAGATCCCCGGATCACACAGGTTGTGTTTGCAAAGGGTATTTCCACCTTTCATTCCACCCTTGTTTGGTGCCTGGGTGATGCCGGGCTTCGGTCACTTTGTACCCATTGTTGGCCAAGTATTAGGTTCTGGCTCATAGAGCCCCTGTATATGCTTGAAGGCTGTGGCCTTTCCAAAGCAGAGGTTTTAGCCGTTCAGCCACCAACCTTTTGCATATTATAGGAACTTTTAAAATGAAACTATCCCATTAGCAAATATTTACTGAGCATGCCACCTTAAAGATAGAGAAGTGACATAAGACAACGCAGGCCCTGCTGTTAAGGTATTTGCAGTTCATCTGCCTTGACCCACGCGCACACACTTGCTGCATCTGTCTAAGAAGAATGGCTCGCCTAGCGTGCTGAAGGGTGGGTTGGTAGATTTTCTAGACCTGAAAGGGGAAGAGGAAGAACTGGTAAGAATTAAGTTTGCTGAGATTCAGGGTAGCCACTTGGGCTACCTGAGAATCCTTTTTATGACCACCTAGTATTATTTCTCCCAACTCTGAAGCAAGGCCACAGCATCCCATGTGTCTGAGTGTCTGAGGGGAAGGAGGAAAGGGATGGCCGACCCCAGCTGAGAGGAGCTTTTCATACTTCTCCTTGTACTAAGGCTTGGCTGTGCGTGTGAGAGTCTGCCAGCTCAATTGTATTCCCTACCAGTTAGGTACACAGGGTGGGATAGTGTGTATCCTGGCCACAAGTCGCGAAGGCTTTGTTTCATTTTTGTTTTGGTTTTTCTTTTTTGTTTTAAAAAGGTCCTTCTGTTTTTCCTTGGAGAGAAATTCAAAGGGGGGGGCGGCATCAGACAGGGGTGAGCAGCCCTCAGGAAAACGACGGGTGTCCCTTTGTTCCAGAGTCAGGAGCACGCTGCACATAAACACCCGAAGGTAGTGCTTGGGGTTAGTGGCTCCTTAAAGAATCAGCCAGAGACTGTCCTTGGAGGGCATGCCTCAGAGGGCAAAACAATACTAACGGCAGCAACAAAGAGACACATGTCTGTGTTACCGACTGTCTTAAGTTGTAAAGGATTTTTTAACAGACTTCTCACTATCATAACGTCAAGAAAGCCCTGTAAATCATGTTGTGTAATGCCGAGTACATGAGAGGTACGCTTTGCTTCAGGGTATTCCTCGGCATCAGAGAACACTCCGGGGCCTGGGGAGACCACATGCTTTCAGATTCGGTGGGCAAGTAATTACAATATAAAGGTAGTGTATCCTGCTTTCTGAGAACGTTATAAAACATTTACAGGAACTTGGCTATTTGGAATAAAATGTACTATTAGAGGGTTTCTTACCCTTCATTTTTATGCATTTTCTTGCACTCTTGCTATATCAATTAGGACTGTTTTGAAATCATGTATTGAGTGACTGTCAAAACAAA